GGAAGAGCCATTATAAAATATCGAGTAGGTATACTGCGCACACCAGCGCGCGCAACGTAGCGCACGCAGTGACGAGTTGCCCGCGCTACGTGCCAGATGTTACTCCACGTTTTCGCGTGAACCGAGTCTCGTTCGTTCGTGTCACGGTCTCCAGCGTGTAAACCGACTAAGGGAGCGAGTTGCTTTAATAAAGTTGTAAATAACCTTTTTACAGGTGTCCCCTCGGCTTTAATCCTCCTTCATTAAGCGCAACTGTTTTTCTTCTTGATTCATTCCGGTCTGGTCTCTAGCGACACGTGTCCTATTTTTCCTTCTTCTTCCACGTTTATTTCTGCTTCTCTCGATCTGCTCGGAATAACATCGCGCTATCCGCGTTGAAGTATAAGAAAAAGAAAGAGAAAAGAGTAAAAAAATAATTCGTAGCAAGCAAAACGTTTCTTAAATGAAATGTAAATACGAGAACATTAATCAAGCGTAACAACGCTGGGACACGCGCGCGGAAAATACTAATCATTTTCAAGGTCCAGTTTCTTTTCGCACAGCGCTTAATTTCGTTTTAAAAATTCGATTCGTTCGTTGTGGAAACGCGTGTGCAGCGATAAGTGGACGTCGAGTCGGCATGGCCACCTGTTCGAGAGCTCTAACAATGTTGCAGCTTAACAGTGGTATAGCGGTCAACAAAGAGGTTAAGCATCGACGTTCGGAATAATTAAGTTCATTAAACGTCTCTGTTGGTACGGTCGTTCCACCGAGTCGCTTTTGAACGGCGTACGATGAAAAGCTATTGTTTGGCCGCCGACAACGGCGAGCATCTCTCCTGGACAATATTTATCGTGGCAACCTTTGCTCCGTAGCTCCGCAGCGAATTTTATTTTCTCGAATTACGAGCGTTCGCAAAGCTGCTCGAACGCTGCCAATACCGCGACACCGTGCGATCTCGTTTCGGTATTCCTCGGACACGAATCCCTTCGAATTCCTATATCCGTGCGAAATCGTTTTTTACCCACGCCTAGTAAGACAGCTGGCCGAGCGGAGCAGCAGCGGCGATCTTATCGACGGAGCAGTCGGTAAGCCATCTATTTTTCCATTCGCATTTCACGGTTCCGATGGCGGAACGAGATCGCGTCGATATTCGTTGTACGTGCAAGAATGTTTCGGGGCATAAATACGCATCGAGGCGCTCCTGATATCGTTCGGATCGTGTAACATGCACTGTTTACATTTTCGTTAACTCTCGTACAATTGTTGTCTAAGACCGTACACAAACAGCGATAACGAGTCGAATGAAATTTCGTGACGCCGAAAGTATCGACGATGACTCAGCTAGGTCGTCGCAACGACGCATACCGTCGCGCCACGTGTGAATTTCAGGAAATTCATCTCCATCGAGCACTGTTCGACCGACGAGGAATAATCGATTAACGCGAGTCGATGATATCCGCGATGTATCGATGCATACGAGAGCAACCGGAATTAATCGGAAAGCGAAGCTACGACATTCGACGAATCAACGAGGGAGTCGAAACACGGAAAGCCTGGCTGGAAATTTTCCTCTACGTTCTCTCTTATCTACTCGTTAAGTAAACTGTTAACGGTTAGGATACGGTGGACCCTGGGACGCGATACATCAGACGTCGCTCTAGTAATTTCTCGAGTTCCGTCCCGTCCTCGCAGTCACAGCTTGACTTCGTTTGCTTTTATACGTCAGAGATTCGTGTATCAAAGCCAAGCGACGAAAATACGTTGCGTCGATACGCTGATTACCGAGAGCAAATATTACACCGGACCCTCCTCCACGGCCGATCGAGCACGCGTGTATTCCGAAATATATTTTTCGGCCGAGCCTCGCTGCCGCGCCATTAATCGCGGCTACGCTAGATGTCGTAAACATAGGCAAACACGACCGGACGAAAATACTAGCAGCAACATTGTTCGACGCGGTCGCGGACCGTTCGCAAACTCATTTCCTGAAGGTAAGACGCAGAAGAGATGCGTCGACGCGACGTACACGCGTTCCGGAAATACATGGCGGACACGGGAGCACAAAGAAATTCGAGATTTCCATCACAAGGCGCGTGTCAGGCGACACGAAAATTCGTTGTCGCGTTACGCACCGCCGCCGCCGTTGCGATGCACTTTACCCGTATCGGGATCGTCAGGCTCTCTCGCGCGCGCGCGCGCGCGCTATCTCTCCCTCTATAGCGTTATTCATGAGCATACGTATATGCTCATGAATAAGAGATTTGACACGCGCCCTTCTTATCGTCAAGGAATCGACCTTTACGTCCAAGTGAGAAGACCACCGGGGAATAGATGTACCGCGTACGTGTGTATGTACATACGTACGTACGTACGTATAAATATACATATATATATGTACATATATTGGTATATAGATACGCGTACGTATAATCTTTGCTCAAACATCGTGTCGCTGCACGCGCGCGTATAGATCGAGTGACACTCGAGAATTTTTGTCAGAGGAATTTCCTCTGGGCAGCTGGCGCTCATCCAATCGTTTACTCTAGCGAATGCCTGCTAGAAACCGTCCTATTCGTTCGTGTGTACCGCACCACTATTCCCGCCGGTTCTCTCTTGCAGTGGAAAGAGACAGAGAGGGAGAGAGAGGGAGAGAGCGAAGGAGAAAGAAAGCAGCGTGTGTGCCGATCGACGACGCTTGGTACGAGAAAAAAAGAGAGAGAGATAGAACGAGAAGAAAGAGAAGTAGAAAGAGAAGAGAAGAAAGTACGGAAAGAGGAGAGGAGAAAGAAGAGGCGAGTGGGGAGTCTTCACACGGGGCGCACACGGTTCTCTGTTACCTGCGACTCGTGGCCGTGTCCAGCATGGTAATCCAATCCTTCGGATGGGGGGCTACCTCGTCATCCCTGCGGGTCTCTCGTTGACCGATCGCGAAAAGTCGAGGAACTTCACTTAAAAGCTATTTCCGTCCTTCGTCGGGCACTGCTCGTTGGAAATAAAATCACTCCACTCGCACGACTCGCCGCGACTCGTGTACGTACGAGAGAACGCGGAAGGACGCCTTTACTGGCGCGAAGACGACGCACTTCTATTTGCCAAGTTTTTCCGTCTTTTTCTCCCTTTTCCACGGGACCAGTAATACGTGCACTGTCCACGAGAAACGACACGTCCAACACCACACGTCGTATCGTTATACGCGGTTATGACCGACGACGAATCGCGGATTTGTTTTACAAAGTCGAAACGCGCCACCGAGACAACCAATCATCGTTCTCTTACAAACGACCGTACGCAAGCAGAGGCCGCAATATACTGAACGAACACATGATTCCGACGGGGCTTAGTGTTGCCGCACGGCGTGCAGGTGGCACCACCAGAGCGGCGCTCCGATCGAGATCGGCCGCACGGAATCTTCGAAAAGGTCGAGAACAATTTTCGCTCCTCTCGTGGAAATTACCGTGAAATCGGTGTGAACGCGAGTGCACGAGTACGCGATACGTGTCCCGGAATTTTGTAGCCTTCGGACGGGAGTCAATGGAACGCGCCCGAGCGTCTGATGTCAAGCAACTATCAAGGCCGCGCGCGCACGCCTCGACCGAGCACGGATTAACGTAAGTCGTTGCTTATTATAACCGATAATTCGTACAAATTTGGAAATCGCGCCGACCCACTGCCGCCTATAAATACCGCGCTATCGAATTCGTCGCATTCCAACGTGTTTACGTTAGATCTCGATTTCGTTATCGGGACACGTTCTATGGCAATCGTCCATTATTTATTGGCGGGAAAAAATCTTTCCCGTTAAATAGATGTTCCTAACCCCCTTCGAGCGCGTACTCTTTCGCGCATGTAGGTGGCGCTGCGACCGTTTTCGATTCGTTCGTCTCGACCAATCGGATTTCTAATATATTCGAAACTATATTTATCACGCGGTTCCTTTACCAGCCGCGCGTGTTTACTAAATACCATATTCCATCAAATTTTACGACCACTCTGAGAAGGAGGAAACATCGTAAACGCGACGGGGAGAGAGAGAGAGAGAGAGGGAGAGAGAGATACGTTGACGCGCGCAAAAATCGAGCGTCGAATTTCACCCGCGACACCTAATTCGCGAATACCGCGGATCGAATAAATCGTGTAGCGTTTAGTGCGATATAAAGCGAGGTTAGACGACGACGCGGGGTACGCGTACACGGTGGAGAGGGGTCTCGTCGCGGATTCGCAACGATCGGGGAAGTTGCGGGTATTTTTAGACAGCCGAAAGCTTTTCCGTTATCGCAGACCACGCGGTTATCACACTCGCGCTATTCTGCACTTTTACGTATTTACAAGGCTTTCCTTTTTCAGTCGTAAAACGCTTTCGAGCGAAATAAGAGCGATAAATGGAAGATCGCGAGGGGGGTAGAATTTACGAGTCTAAATTCTCGGTTTTACGACGCGGCGTAATTCTTAAGCGCGTTTCAAAAATAACTTCTTTGTTCGAGCAAACGTTGCGTTATCGCTGAATTAGCATTTTTCTAATTACCACTATTAGCCTCCCGACGGAATTGCCAGCAATCATCCACGAAATCTCGAGGCGCGGCGCGCGTGGTGAGCAACAGGTTGCGAGAAATAACGCGGCGAAGATGCCGTTTACACTCTAATTGTTTGCAAATCCGTAGTCTGCTGGATGTAATCTTGTTTACAAGACGAAGTTAAGAGGCCTAGCGGTATTTACTTTATTTCCACCGACGCTTCGGTTTCTGGTTACATACGGTAACCGCGATTGATAGTGAAAGCTGCGCGTTTTATCAGCGCGGAATGCCTACCTGCGTAACGATATTTTCTCGTCAACTCGATCATTCGCGCGGCCGTACGAATTTTTCCTCTCTCTTTTTTCCCCCCCACGCCTCTTACTTTTTTCCCCACGTTCACGTATCTTTCAGTCGCCGGTTAATTGGCCACGGTGCAATTTTCTCTCGCTCATTGTTACGTATCGGCACGCGAAATTTCAACGAGCAAGTGCACACCGGCGACATGCTAACGTACGATTGTTCGTAGTTAATGTAGGATGTAATAGCGTACGGCATAACACGCGAATGCGAATACCTCTATTATGCGCGTACACTGCGAATGCACGTGCTCCCTCGGTGTGCGTGTAAATACGGACGATAATGTAAGGCGTTACGTCGCAGGGAAAGTAGCGCGCGATAAAGGAGAAATCAAAGCGGCGAGAATTTCCACGGCCATCCCCGTCGTTTCATCTCCGAGTAGACGCGGAATTGTCCGATTTCACGAAATTCCTCGACTCGCGGAAACCACGCGATTCCAGTGGGAACGACCGCGAATGGCCAGAGCCGGAAAGATTCCGCGGGCGAAAGACGATCGAGCTTCCTTCTCGGGCCCACCGGACCGTCCCCCTATCTCGTCCGATTAATTTCTCGGCCGGGTTCGTTTGTACCTCTCTTCCTCCCGCTATCTTCCTATAAATTTTCCAACGTCGCAGCGTCACTTTCTGCACTCGCGATAAAATTCCTCCACCCTGCCGCGAGGTGACGCGATTTTCGGCCGCACCGCGCGCCGCAGCAGGATTCCTCTTCACGGACCGATCAGCGGCGTTCTCGGCTGACAGGCCGGGAATCGAACTGCTATTCGGAGAGCAGGGATACGAATTTACCACGTTCGTGTGTACACGACCACAGTTAGCAACAGTGACGTAGAGGACGACGCACAGAAGCGGCGATTGGCTGGTAAAACAGTTGCTATCTTATCTTTTTCCCCGTGAGTGTCAACACTCGCCGCTCTTCGCTTACGATCTAGCGTGCACCGAGCGTGTAACTTGTGCGGCCTCTGTCGCGATTTTTTCGTCGTTTCCCGATTCCAGCAGCCTTTTTCTCGTCGCGGAGACGTGTCACCTCTTCGTCCTATCTCCCACGAGTCGAAATTTCTCTTCGCTTCGCCATCTCTCTTCAACCGCGCCGATTTTAACCCGAGCAGCGCGTACCCCGTTCGCGGTTTTTATCGAAAATGGTGAACGCTGATCGACGATGCGTATCAGCCGACACGGGAACACGGCCATTTAATTACCGGTACATTATCGATGTAGAAATCTACCCCGTTATTCGTGCCGCCTTCCTTCTCGCCGATCGACTCCCGGATTCCGTTGTTCCCTCGGCGCGCCATTTTTATTCGGGTTAATTCGACGACGATTTAAAAACGTAGATGAAAGATCGTACGTTTTGCTTAATTATACATGTACGTACACGCACCGTGGCCATTCTTCGCTCGAATCGTCGAATAACTCGGCGTAACGAGCGCTCATTAAGTACACTGTCAAGTATACTGTAACGGATCGTATCAGATATGATCCCCGGTTGATGGAACAGCGCGACTCGTTTCAACCTCGTTGTACCAGTTTCGTTGATTTCTCGGATAATTTCGCGATCATAGGGAAGAGATTTATCGCGGAAAAGGCACGCGAGGCATTCGAGCCTGGCCTGGTCTCTACGAGCCGCGAATCGTGCCGATGGAAATCAGGTTAAATGACAACGAGCGTAGCGTCACGATCGAACGTGTCGAATCGCGACGAGTTTATTTTCAGCTCGGTCTAAGCTTGCGCATATCTTATGTAAAGTAACCGCGTGTGCGTGGACAACAGGTCGTTTGTGCCGCAGGTGCGGTGCGTCGTGGAAAAGACGCAAACCTGGACGCCATTCGACGCGACGCGTCGAGCAACCTGTCCACGGGCAGATTTCCCATCGGGTAAAACGGATCAGGCAAACTGTCGAGAGAGACTAAATCGTGGGATCATCGCGAATCTCTCTAATTCTCTCGAACGCATTTCTACGCGCACGCAACACCGCGTACGTTCTTTCCCCTTTCTGCATCCTCTGTGCACGTACGCGCAACAACGATGATCTAATTGCTGGTAATCGAGCCGCTCCTTTTCATTCGAGACCGACCGCAACGACGACGACGACGAAGACGACGAAGACGACGTCGACGTCGATGACAACGATGAACCGCGCAGATTAGCATTCTCCTATCGAAATTTTTTACCGCTTCGAACGTATTGTTCTACGGCGGATGAAGATAATTCCGAGTCTATAAATAGACACGCGGCTGGCAGAAGGAGAACCTAATAAAAGTACGCTCTCCACGGAGAGACCGTTCGCGTTGGAGCGTGAAGTCGAAATAATACACGGTCGCCGAGGCGATTGATATTTAAAGCAATTTTAAACGAATCCGGCCGAGACGAGGTGCGCGTACGCGGAATTACGGGGAATTACGCGCGCGAGGTTTGCACGAATGCGAGGTTTTGAAACGAGAGGCAAAGGGTGGACTCGGAGAGGCGATGGCGGACTCGGTGGAAGCGGCGTGGAAGAAGGACGGGGACCAAAGGGGTGAGCCCACGAATCCTTTTTCTCCTCTACGCTTTGCTCGACCATTAGCGGTAACTGGTCGAAGAGTAATCGTACTCGTCACTTGTACCCTGCCGCTAATGACGGATCATTTTGCAACATTGCTCCGTCCGACAACGTTCAACAACGTCTCGTTCTCAGGAGGCAGATACACCATTTGAAAATTGCGGCGCCGCTTGCAACCTGTATAAACAATCGGCCATTACGCACCGTTATACGATAATCGTGCTTGACGTCAAATATTAAATGATTTCGCTGCGTGAATCAGGCTGTTTAAATTGTCCGGCTTGATTGAATGATGGCCGCTCCTCTAAGTTGGCCGACAACCACTTCACCGTAAATAAGATGGTACCCTATTCCGTGTACAAGAGTCGCCTCGTTATACAGGGTGTTCGATTCCTCGGCGCGGTCTGGCGAATCGACGCCAGATTCGTATCCTTGCACGTTTGCCGAAAGACACCGCGCGCTGTAACCGGCATTCGATCGGGGATCGGTAAAGCGTGGAAGAAAAACGCCGGTTTCGAGGAAGAGATCGGCCGCGCGGCGTTTGGAACGTTCGAGTCGGATGGAAGACGCGCGAGGCGAGGAGAACGGAAACGAGGCGAGGAATTTTCACCGGCGGGCTTACCGTTCGTTTGCTCTATCGAGTTTGCGAAAGACACCGAATAGTAAATTGCGCGATAAATTCAGAAGTCATTCTACTATTTGCACGACCGTTTCGCGCTTAAGCGGAGACCGAACCGCGCGGCGCGCCGCGGCGCGATCACGTGCTACGAAGACGCACGTAACGAGACGTGCAAATTAAAGTAACGAAGAGTTTAGTTAGCCGTCACAGCCAGTAACGGCTTTAGTCATGGTTTTCGCGATCGGCAGGCACGAGCGATCGCGACCGGCTCCTTCTCGGTGTATAAATAAACGTAACAGTACCATTAGATATTAAAAAGGAATGGAACGTCGCGCCCGGTATGCATATTCAAACGCTTCACTCCCGTTTCGCGCTGTTACGTTCGAGCCGACTTTCTAACGCGCCATCCGTTAACTGTAAATCCAAACGAATCTCCGCGAAAGACACTCCTCCGATGAAAAAGCCAACGATCCGCGCTGCATCGCGATCGATATCCCTGCAGCACCGCAACTCGGCTTTCGTCCGCGCGATCGATACCGTCCTCACTCTCCGAGTTTTCTCTCGCGCGCGCGCACGCTTACACCGAACGCTCGCGGATACGCGGCTGGTAACGCGCGCATCGGTAATTTTATAATCGCCGAGCGGAGACGCGTACAGCCCAGACGCGATCGACTTTGATCGATTTTTTCCCATTTTTCACCACGGACCCGAGCGTGCGCGGCAGATAACGGGAGAAGAGCGTGCAATCACCGTCTCGTCTTCAATTAATTTCTTCGATACTAATAATTTAATGGATCTCGGTGCGTTATCGCCGCTGTTCCATCACGCATCGTGCTCGTGTGTGCCCGCGGGGTGCACCCGATGCCATTGCACTTGCGTGCAACAACGCCGACTCCGTCGATACCGCGAAATTATCTCGGATCTTTGTGCTTCCCACCGCTACGCATCTCGCGCATGCATCTCTGAGTTTGCACGAAAATTCTCGCCTTCCTCCAATCGTCTATCGCGCCATCTATCCTAGTTCCACCGTCTTTGTTGGACAATCGTCGGTGATCGTGGTTCGCTAATGATTTCTTTATTTCAAGGAGAATAATAAACTTACACATGTTTCCGTATCGCGTTCACGATAGATCGGTTCCTTAATTAGACGATACAGCGGTTATCGAAACGGCTTCGTTTCGAGCTTTCGATCGCTCGTGGTATACGTATATCTATATATATCTATATTTATGTATATATATTACTCTATAAATAATTGGCTTAAGTACTACGTGCCGGCAGTAAATAACTCGGTGAACGCTACTATTCGTCGGAATATTCGGCGGATACGAGTATCTCGTCAAATTTCCACTATCTAGCGGACAAGGTTCGAACAAGGGGGACGCATTTTATTGCAAACGCCAGGCGAACTTGCCGCACTTGGAAGAACCGAACGGTGCGTAAAATTAAAAAAAGTAAATTGACTAGAGACACTTATACGGAATAAAAAGCACGAGCCTTCTTGATTGTCTAAGCTAATGCAGTGGAATATACCGTTATGGCGCGCTGATTTCCGTGGCACGAGTTACGTATGCTATAAATAATGTATAAATACATCTGTTAGGTATCTCGTTTTGTACGTACGGTGTGCTTTGGTACGTCGTGTACTGCGAGAGGAAAATCATATTCGAAACGCACGTCGATCGCCCGACCGGCGATCCACCGATCGTTCATCGGCCATCTGCTATCCTCAGCCTCCATTCGTTCGCTAAAATATCGACTAAATACGGTAATGGAACGTGATTGTCGAGTCGATTATCGCTAAAATTAATACTCCCGGTTGTACCTCAGAGTGCGCGGAACTATGTCTCCGTTATCGGACATAGTAGGATAAATCGAAGAAAATTCCAAGGAATTCGTTTGCATCTCGTCTATCTGCCTCGAGTTTCCGCGATTATCGAAGCATTATCGAAGCATCGCGTACTGTTCGACTCGTTGGAGCGACAGCCTCGATCGAGAACGACCACCGGTTCCTCGTAGATCTCGCACTGGTTCGCACCAAACCCTCGACTCTTGGATCTCTCGTTCCAGCCGTCTCTCGATACGAACTAACGATATCGATACGCGTACCGCGATCTACACGCGAGCACTGGTTCGATCCTCGAAACCAACTCGAAACCATCTAGCTCTCTGTGTCTTCTCGCCGCTCTAAACCGACTCGAGAATCTCGAGTATCTCGAGTTAAGACGCGTCCATGGCCAGGGCTCCTTAATCCAATCGTCCTCCCGGATAATAAATCAGTGGCATGGTAGCGTCCCATCCGTCTATCTCTTCGTTCGACTGTGCCGCTCGCCTCTGACAATTCAAGATCAGAGTGCTGTGTCTCGGGCTGCTGGGCGCGGATCTACAGGTCGTCTGGCCGATCCCGGCCGAGCCGAAGCGCAAGTTCTTGGCCCCGCCGCGCGAGAAATAAGGCTCGTTCCCGATAGTCCAATTGGTACGCAGCGACGAGTTCTTCGCGTCGGCCTGCAGCCTCTGTCGTGCCAAATCTTTCGCGTCGATTTGCGTTTCCTGCTCGCACAGTTTCTCCACGCACGGACACGAGTTGCTGGACGATCTCCAGCTGTCCACGCACGACGGCCTGCTCGCGCAAGACATCTTCGGCTTGCACGGACTGTTGTCCACTATGGACTCTAGCTGGCTGCTCACGCGAGAGCACTTTTGATCCAGCTGATCCGAGCTGGCGAAACGCAGCCGTTTCGGCGACTCGCTGGAACACCTCATGAAGGTGGACCTCACCAGAGACTTGTTCTTCAGGGAACTCCGAGGTATCAGAGGGTTCGCGTGGCTCTTCCTCGCGCAACCGTTTCGCCTGTGCTCTCGTTCCCTGCTTCGTTCCTCTCTGAGGATCGAGTCCTCGCCTATTAGCCAGTAGGTGAGACGTTCGCCTTTGCCTTTCATGGACACCAGACCCCTCTCGACTATCCCGAATCCGCCGAGCTGGTCCAGTAACTCCTTCGTCTCGCCGCTGCAGTGAATTTTCAGAGCTGAAAAAGCAAGGAGCACGCGTTTCGGGTACACATATCGGCGAGTCACGATTCTTCGCTTTTGTCGGTCATATCTGCCGCGTGCGGCTACTCACGGGCTCCGGTGGATTCCATGCGACTGGCCGTGTTCACGGTATCACCAAATAGGCAGTAACGGGGCATTTTTAGGCCTACCACACCGGCGCACACGGGGCCTAGAAGAGAAGTAAAAGTGTGTCAGCCGTAATGGACGCGGTCTAAAATCGATCGGCCTTTTCTCACCGAGCTTACCGGAATGTATACCGATCCTCAGCTGCAGCTTGTCCAGCGGCCTGTGTCGTATGGTGAACTGTTTAACGGCGTCTAGGAGGCACAAGGACATGCTAGCAATTTCTCCCGCGTGCTGAATACCGTTTCGAATCGGTAAACCGCTTACCTGTCAAAAGGCCCAATGATTCACGAGCCTGTATCACGCTTCGCGCCTCGTACTTTCGATACTCACCACCATGTAAGCGTCGCCGATCGTCTCCACTTTGTACACGTCGTAATTCTCTATCGTCGAGTCGAAGCAGGTGTACAAATCGTTCAGAAAGTCTACTACCTGCGAACCAACGATTTCGGTAATCCGCCACGTTTACAACCGCGAACTCTGATTCGAATCTTCGCGCGTACCTGCAGAGGCGTGCTCTCGGCCGACATGGCGGTGAACCCGACGATGTCGCTGAAGTAAATCGTCACGCTGTCGAAGCTCTCCGCCTCGACTTTGTGTCCCCGTTTCAATTGCTCGGCCACGTATCGCGGCAGCATTTCGTACAACAGGGCGTCTGAAAGGTGCAACTCTGTGAGATATAGTCCGTGGGTAATGCCACGGTGTTTTTCGACCGTGTGACGCTTCGCGAAATGTCCAGCAACCTGTTTTCTTCTTCTCCTCGGTTAATTGGTCCGTTCGCTCGTCCACCAGCGCTTCGAGATTATTCGCGTACTTCTCCATCATGGCCATCATGTTGTCAAATATGTTCGGCTTCCTGAAAACGCGTACTTTAATTTACCTCGATTGCCTTTTACCTCTTACCTTCCTTTTTCTCTCGCTCGCTCGATGGCCACCGTTCCACGCGTTCGAGAAACGACACCTCGGTGGTTTCCAAGCGTCTCAACTCACATGCCCTTCCTCAATGGCCTCAGCTTGTTCCTCACGATCTTGAAGTCTGGTCGAGCCTCGGGATCCTCGGCCCAGCACTCCACCAGACAATCGCGCACGAAATGGAAACAGTTCTCCAATTGGGTCAACGGTGGTCTGAGATAATTCAAGGAAAACAGAATAGCTGACAGGGTGGAAACAGAGGCGCGTAAAATTTAAGCATCTTCGGATGGACAGACCGCAACTTTGATCGTGATACCTGAACGGTTCCGTTTCCGGCTCTCTCGCGATCACTTTCTTCAGTATCTCCGAGTGCGACAATTCCGTGATCCCGTAGGGCCCGTGCCTCCCTTGAAGCTCGTACAGCACTATCGCGAACGAGTAAACGTCTCCTCTCTGATAATCTCGCACAGTCTGCTCTTGACTCTTGCTCGATCGCAGTAACTCTGGCGCTCGATACAGCAGACCTGTCGAATTTTTATTCTCGCTTTACCATCATCGGACGAACCAACGTTACAAAATTGGCCATTCGATAAATCACCGTGATACTTCTTCATGACGTCACACGGCTCGCACTCCGCGTCCTTTTTGAATTCGTGCAATCCAAAGTCCGCCAGCTTTACGACCCATCGGGAATCCACCAGGCAGTTGGACGTACTCAGCGAGCCATGATATTTTATGACGGACTCGTGCAGATAGATCATACCCTGAAAAGGGCGAAAGTGGTAGAGGCGAGCTCGTGGAAGAATTGCATCAGAGGCGACGATTCCGCGATCGGTTCCCCTCGTTTCGTCGAATGGGCGAAATTTCGAGGAAGGCTGTAAAGCCTCCGTAGCTAGGAACAAGCGACAAGATTCGAAGAGTTTGGAAAGGACGAAAGTTTCGTACTACGAGCGAACGGATTTCGGTATGAAAAATTTTACGCGATCAAGAGGAGTATACTTATTCTTCTCGTGCTCGTTCGTTCCGGATAAACGACATCTTCGCGCAGAGTTTTCCCTAGGGACGGAGAACGTTCGAAGGGGGCGTCTCGCACCGGTTTGGTGGAAAGGCTTGGCGGACTCCTGGACAATACGTACCCTGATTATATCGCCGACCAAGGACGCCATGAACATGTTATCCAGCTTCATGTCCTCGTTCTCCAAGATGTCCTACGAGAAAAAGAAGGGAAAAGAAAGAAAGAAGACGAGCGGCGGAGAAAATTACACCGGGGAATCCCGAATGCTTCAGCTTTCGTCTACTTAATTACAAACTGTCCCAGCGGACGATTACCTTGAGACTGCCACGAGCACAATACTCCACGACGATGCATATGTTCGGCGGATCGGTGCACGCTCCGATGAAAGCGTTCAAATTATCGTGTCGCAAGTCTCGCATCTAGAGAAACGATCCTTTAATTTGCGCACGATCGGGAAACCGGGTCCCTCGCGAGTTCTCAGGCGATGCACTCGAGATCACGACGTTACTCACCACTTTCAGCTCCTTCTTCATCTCCCGTGTAATTTCGATCGATTTCTTCCGAACCTTCTTCACGGCGAATATCCGCCCCTTGTAGACGCCTATTTGCGTGTAGATCATCGAATAGCGGAAATCGGCGTCGGGGTTCGAGCTGAGAGAGACTTGGCTGGTTCTTACGATCGGCTGCGTCGTCGTCTGCGAGGGAAAAATATTCTCGTTATCGGGAACGGGCAGTGAAGCGTTTAAAAATTCCTGGAAAATTTATCCGACTGGTGGATCGATAGACCGGGACACTTGGATCTCGAGGATCTCGGAGTCTTCCGCGGATCGGGTATAAAAAGGAGTCGGAGTATCGTTGGGGCTTTGATAGCCGAATATGTCGAGCTTCGAAAGTCCCGGGATCAATTGGGTCGAGGGAAATGAGGAAAATAACGGAGAATTGGTATAAGAGAGGAAGTATAGAGAGGAAAGTAGAGACGACATAGACGGCGAAGCCGGGCTATTTACCTTGGAATTGCATTTGGTAGGCGCCTCGTTGGCTCCCTCCGGCTCGTCTTTCTGCTCTTTGATCTGAATGTCTTTGTAGTTCACCTTCCAGAGCAGGGAATCCAGTTCCTGCTCGTACTTCCAGTTCCTGTATAGCACCAGGATCACGGTCACGATAATCAACAGAAATCCACCGGCTATCCCACCGACGATCTCCCCAGTGTGAGCTAGACGATTCAATTGTAAATAGTGTACCTTCTTCGGCCACCTATTTTTATCATCGTTATCGTCATCGTCATTGTCGTCTTCGTCCTCGTCTTTGTCGTCGTCGTCGTTAGCAATAACAACGTTGTTATCGACATCGTTATTATATCGTTATCGGTATTATCAACGTGGCGGTTGGTCGATATTAATCGTCGTTATTTTAAATGACCGATCGGCTGGGTCTTCTCGAGATTCACCATGGAGGATATTTGGGTCAGAGATGCTCGCCTCGGTTCGATCCTTTTTTAATTGTACCCCCCTCGTTTAATGTTTCGTGTTCAGGACGTTTAAATCGGTCACGACCGTGGCGGCAGTGGTTGGTTGCATAATCCGTAATCGGCAGCGCGGTTACGTGGTCGAGATACGTTTTCGATCTCAATTAAAGGAAACGAAAAAGGTATCCGCGGGTAGGAAGGGCGGAAGGCGTTCCCCTTTAACGGATTTACATATGCAAATTTTAAGGTCGGACCGGCAAACTTTATGATGTATTTTCGAACGATCGGTTCGCGGCCTTAAAGGTACCGGAGAAAGCTGACGAATGGTAATTCGAAGGAGAACCGAGAGACCCTCTACCCTGCTCGCGTTTTCACCATCCGAGAGCCGTTTCGATCATCCGACCAAGTTCCATTCTACGAATCATCCATTCACGATCTAACGCGATTCGTCGCCGCCCCTGTTTTTCGCAACCGAGCACCCACCACCCTTTCCCGGTCAAGTGTCACCCGTTTGATTCGTCGTTACCGGGGTTTATGTTTGCAAATAAAAGTGGGAGGATGAAAATGGCCATACGTACAAGTGCACTTCTCGCCGTGGTAACCGCAACGAGGCTCCGCGATGGGCGGCCCGTCACCGATCCACCGAATATCCCTTGTCAATCGGAGTTTCTGCAAGAGAGTAACGGGAATCGATAAAGGAAAGCGACGAAAGGTCCGCGCTGGCAAAAACCGCGCTCGAGAATATCAGTTAATGTCTCACTGGCAGATTCGTGCCGTTCTCTTTTCCCACAAAGTACGCTATGGGGTATAAACCGTGTCCCTTTGTCGGCCGATTGTCCAGAGCGATCAAAGTGTAATTGCCTTCAGCGTCTCCGTTTTCGTCCATGTAGACCATGTACCTGTACAGACGATATATCATGCAACAGGCAGGCGTCGTAACGCGCGTTTTACGCGCGCTAAAAGTCCTCGTAAATTGCGCAAAGAGACGCGGGAAGCGTTATATTCCGTCGATTTTTATATCGTCCCGTTTCTCTTTCTCCCGTGTTATTAAATGCCCGATTCGTCGCTCGTCAAACGGAGTAACGGAGCGTTGCGCAAGTTCATCCTCGTGCGGAGGCATCGAGAAGACGATGGACGAGGATCGATCATCCCGGACGAAGGAAAATTACGAGAATCCGAGAGCACGGATAGCCGCGCGCGAGAGCCTTAATTATTTCGTAGGGTCAATTATCACTCTAGACGCTTGCGTCATCCTAATAATGGCCGCCTCTGCTTTATTGGCCTCGCGCACTTTAAACCGTCTTACGCGCGGGCAAATATTTCCACGGTGATTCAGGTGATCTCGCGTCCTGTTTCCTCCATTGCGCAACCGATCCCATCTAACGCGATCATCTGGATGAATTTTTACGTGGAAACGGCAGACACGCTGGCTTCGCAGTCTTTCCATCCTCGCTTCTACATTTTTTACATTTTCTCGCGCTTTGTTCGAGCAATATATGCGGCAACCGCGTATAAAGCGTGAAAAGGAAATGTAACGCGAACTTGCGGTGAGACATCCGTTTCGCGGAGTTGACAGCAACGCGCGACGCACCTTTTAACGTTGAACTTACCGCAACCGGTCAAATGACGGATGCGTGAAAGAAGGAAAGGAGAAGAATCTTAAAGAAAATGGAATACGAGGGAACGTCGAAACAATTAATTATACATACTGTGGGAATGGAATGGAATGGGCGCGGCCCTGAGAGAATGCGAAGAGTGTTTGGGACGTAATGATAAAGGAGCGAATGCGCAGTCTTAGGCTAACAGCTGCCAGTGCACGCGGAAGGACGAAAGCGATCGCGTGCAAGAGGATCGAGAGGAAGGACTGTTTATGGTAGAGAAAGTTAGGTACGCTCTCCAAGTTTAGGAATTAGTACTAGTTATTACCACTAATTAGTTTAAGAATTAGGGAACCAATGCGTAAGGGCATATAGGATGTGAGGGTAGTGTTAGAGAGAGTAAAGAAGCGTCGATACTCTTAAATTCTACGAAGCTTTATCTACCAGAAGAGGGATTTAGCCAGAATAATCCCAACAATTTTTTGGCTCGTCCTATAATAAGGACTACCTATGAAGCTTACGCGTATTGGAAGAAAAATCACGCAGTCAGACCAAAGCGATTCACTGCGGAATTTCGAATCGAAAGTTTAACTGTAGACTTATAGAACCCGTCAATTTGACGGAAGGATTGCTCCAATTATACGATGGTAACAGATTCAATTAACATATATTAACCCTTTGTACTCATGATTTTTTGGCTAGAGAAGAGTAGAAATTCAAAGATTCTCTACTGAAAAACTGACGATACTTTTTTGAGCAGTGAACAAAGAATTTTGTAATAATAGAATTGTAGAATTATTTGATTTCGATACTTTGCACACTGTTACATTACATTAAATTTGATATATTAATTAATATTTATCTTCCAAAGTTTATGAAACGGTAAGTGAGGGTCACCTGTCGAGTGCAAAGGGTTAATTAATATCGAACCTCCAAATTTTACGAAACGGTGATTGAAGCTCACCTCTCGAGTGCAAAGGGTTAAGACTGTTAATATAATATATAATTGTTTCTAAATTAAACTAATCGTTAAAACAAAGGCACGTAGATTCCTTTATCTGTCAATTTGACAGGTGTCCTTAGAAATAGGTATACAGATAGCGTCCGTAACGCTAGTGTTAAAAATGGCGAGTGGATAGGTCAGCAGAACAGAATCGTATCGCGAAGCGAATTTTGGAAAACGAGCGACGAATCTTTGGTAACTCCTGGCCCAATCAGCGCGTCGCGACGCGTTGGCGCAAAGATACGAAGAGTGACGGATCGCCTCGCTTCCTCGTCGACTCGGTTACGGTATGCAAACGGTAATCGCTTCGACGAAAATACACCATGCAGGCGCGAGTGCCTGGTTTTCGGCTTGCTTTCCGCGACGCCGAGATCGCCTCGCGATGAAGCTGATTTGCATGCCGTAAAGCGGCGCGATAAGCGGCCGATTCCGCTCATCCGCCTCGTCCTCTCTCTCCCTCTGTCTCGTACATACCCCATGGCGCTGCGATAATGAACACCGTAAAGAGTCGCCACCATTTCTCGGCCGTTTCGTGGATCCCGATTCTCGTCCAGAGCTTTTAGCAACGATCTCTCGTAGAGGTGCACCGCGTCGTACAGATACGCCGTCTCTGGCACGATCTGCCTTATAACACAAACAGACGATTACGTTTAAGAGACGAAGACGGTGCTCGAATCGCGTCCCGATGCTAAGGACTGATCGCTAAACGTCGTCCATTTCTCCGAGTCGTTTCGATTTCCTTCGCGTTATGGCTTTCCAGCTTTCCCGAGGATAAAGGAAGCTATCCAGTAACAAAAATGGTTCCCGTCACTTTTTGGGGAATTTTCAAGCGTCAATCGAATTTCCCGCGTTTACCTGTTCCGGAAATTAGCAGAAATCTGTACGGGGGATCCGAGATTGATCCGAATCGCGAAACGAATGAGCCATTATTCAGAGATTATATATCTCAATCGAAGCAAGATTTATCACGCAAATAAAATACCAGGGTAGAACGTAATGAGAATTACGTCGTGGACCGGTGGCTATCCAGTGACAAAAATGGCCCCCGTCAATTTTTAGGAATTTTCAAGCGTCAATTGAATTTCCCGCGTTTACCTGTTCCAGACATGTCCCATTCAGAGATTATATATTTCAATCGAAGCAAAATTTATCACGCGAATAAAATACCACGATAGGGCGTAATGAGAATTCCGTCGTAAACCGGTGGCTGTCCAGTAACAAAAATGACCCCCGTCAATTTTTCGGAATCTTCAAGCGTCGTTTGAACTTCCCGCCCTTTTTTTACCGGTTCCAGAAACTACCAGAAATTCGTACAAAGTATCCGAGATTGACCCGAATCGAATGGCGAAACGAAGGAGAAATTATTCAGGGATTATATATCTCAATCGAAGCAAGATTTATTACTGGAATAAAATACGACGGTAGAGCGTAACGAGAATTCCGTGGTGGACCCCTGGAGCCTCGCGTAAGACTGGCGCGACAGCGTGTGAATTTCGAAACGACCGGGAACGTCGCGATTTGGAAGATTTACAACGAGCGATTATGGTAGTCACCTGAATGATTCCACCCATGTTCGCGAGCGGGTTGGAGAAGTTGAAGGGCGGCCTCTGCCTGTACGCGTTCACCATGCGAGTGAAGTTGTTGGAGTATATGGGCGCGGTGGCTACCACGCTGAAGTAGCTGCGATACGCCTTCAGGATCGACGAGTTTGTCTTCCTCTGCCATAAACCGCGGAAGTACTTGTCTGGTCGTTTCTCGTCGTACTGCTCGATATCCACGCCGACCACCCAGTACTCGCCTGCGGCACGAATTCTCGCGATATGCCTTCTCCTTTCCCCCGAGATCGTGGATTTAACGAGAAATCTATAGGATCGTTAGGACGACTCGCGTGGAAGAAAAGAAACAGACGCGACGACGAGGAACGATTCTTGTAAAATCGTATATTCTCTGTGAAATCGTACTCTCGCGAGATAGGTCGAAGCGGGAAGGTTTTAGTAAAGCTTGGTCAAAGTTGAGTATTAGACTACGACTAGTGACACTGCTCTCGAGTATATGTACCTGATTATGTTACAGCGGATTTATACCTTTTTCCAAGAGCTTCCTTTCGTCCAGAGCCATCAGCAGTCCCATGTGCTCGTAGTAATTGCCTAGAATCACGTAAACTGGAACAGAAGCGCGCGGTGTTCCGGCGATCAGTCTCTTCGTAGCTTCTTAATTTCCCGAAACGGGTCAAACGTGGCTATTTTCGATAAACGCGCGGACGGTACCGAGCTGCCAGCCGAATTACGCGCCGTATCTATTCACCGCGCGGAATTCCAGCAACCGTGACATGCGGGCCACCCGCCCGCGTCGGACCGGGTGCGTTCTCGCGTACAACCTCGACGAAGGAATTAAAATGCGGGTAGCCTATTTCAGGCCTGCGTCGCGTGTCACTCGGGAAAAGAGCGTGTTTGACAGCGTGTTCGAGAGCGTGTTGGAGACCGGGTCCCAGCAGGTATCGCGATAAATTGGAAAAGCGAGTTCGCCGAACTTGGACGAGCCAAGCTTCCTCGCAATTCCTTCGCTCGAGGCTCTAACAATTTCGTTTTCTTACTCACTTCGCGTCTCCCGATACGTCTCGCTGACGTGCTGGTGGAACGGATTGGTCATGTGCGTGACGTGATACGGCTCTTCCCAGCAACGAAGAAAGTTCACCGTCACACCCGCAGCCTCGAACGACGAGAGTATCGTCTCGGCCACCGTCGACATCTTGTTGAATTCGAACAGGGTCGAGTTCATGTACATGAACGTCACCTAATCGTCACAGACGTCAAGCTCGTCACTTCTCGATTTAGTAGCCCGCTGGTCTCTCTCTCTCTCTCTCTCTCTCTCTCTCGAGATCGTTCCACTTACTTTCGTCCAGTTGAACGCCATCAACACGGAGACCACGGACTTGGAAATCTGCGTATCGGGTGGTCTGGTCCTGGCGAAAGTGGGGAACTCCTTTTTATCCGATGACTCGCGATGAGTGCAAAACTGAAAGCAAAGGAAACGCGTGCTTTCCAGATCGTTGAACCTGATCGTTCCGATAGACCTTGTCCGGCGCGATATTTCGAGCAAAGCCGGGCGACAAGACAAACGGCGTGGCTGGTTCCACGTGCTGGCAAGCCAGTTTCGAATTTGCATCGGGTTTCTAGGTTGGTCTATTACTAGGTTGGAAAGCGAGGGACACGTAATGCGAGTGATCAGTGTGTCAGCTGGACTAGCAACGCGTAACGGGGCTCGCGGAAAATCGAACAAAAGAGCGAACGGAAACGTATATGGTAATTTACGAGCGGCACGAACGGGCCGGGCCGATTAATCCGGCCGGTTATTAAATTCGATAATAACGATAGCCATCGTTCGATCCGCTCGAATCCGAAACGTATCGCACGGTCCGGCCGCCGAGGCCAAACGCGAAATTAATCCACGACGGATAAAATCAGGAGCAGTTTCTTTCGCTCCATGTTCGGCTGAATTATTATACTCGACTTTTAGCCGACCAGTCGATTAATTTCCACCGGGGTTCGTTCGAAAGTCGTAGCTCGCGTGCAACGGTTCGCGAAAATCGGGATAAAACTACTCCACGACTCGGATAATTCGGATAATTCCGAGCAAACACCAACAGCTTCCGCACCTCGACCGCAGTTTTAAAACCCGTATCGAGGATTATAATTTCGATTCGATAACGATAAACGAGGATTAGCTCGAAAACGCGACGATCGAAAAATGGTTTTCCCTTTTCTCACCCTGACACGCCCCTGTTATCACCCCTGTCGGCCATTCTTCGACCCACTCGTTCGCCAAGCTCCGTCGAATCGCGTCTGCTCGCTGGTAGGAGCGGTTAAAAAGAAGGAACTCCGAGGTTTTACGAGGCTCGTAATTCAGGTGGCGACCGTCGAACCCGTTAATCGAATTCGAAGATCGCGCGAAGCCGTTCGGTCTAACGAGCCTCGGCGCGAGAAGGGAGCCGAAATACGGATAGATAAGAGGTCCGTGCTGACGACTCGGTGACGCTGAATGGGTTTAAACGTGTCGTAACCTCAGCTCCGCGCATTCGTATTCCTCGGTGGTCGGCGAATAATTTATTTGCTCGGCCGGGCCGCCAGCTGCCGGCCAGCTTAAACCGCGCATTGCACCGTCAGATCACGTCGGTACAAGCGAAAAAACGATCGAACGAAACACTTCGGGGACCGTTCCTGCTATTACATAGGTGCACACGGTACTGGATTTAAATGGAACGCAGCCTGGCGGATACGCCACGGATAGGCCGAAATACTCGCGAGCGGTGTGGCGCGAGCGAGCGTTACGTTTGTTTTCGTCGCGTGCGACGTCGCGAGCGATCGTATCGTTCCGCGAGTAATTTACGACGCGTCGCGAGCAATATGGACGGCCGATCGAAACGGGACGTCTTAATGGACTCGGACATTCTCCATTCGGAAGGAACCGTGCTGCCGAAAACGCCTTCTCCGCGGCTTGTTACTCGAAACAGAGTGGCTGAGGAGGAAGAGGGTTGCGCGCGAAGGGATGCTATCCGGGGATTCGTTCACTCGTATCGACAACTTCTCGAGACGATGCATTTCCAGTTGCGTAACCGTGAAAGCATTTCTTACCGAAGAGTTACAAGGGAGGAGAAGTTTCCTCGGATTCGGCGTCCGTTTTCTTCCGTTTTTCGTTTCTCCTGGTTGAAATTTCGCGAACAGGGAGGGTATCGAACGTCCGGAGGTGGACGAAAGGAGAGGATGGAATGGAAATATTCCGCTTGTCTCGTACGAGTCGTAGACACGGACAGACGCGCGTACGCGCACACCGGGATTCTTTGTCAAGGCTAAGAAAGAGAGAGAGAGAAAAGGCAGCTTACGTAAGATATCATTGGAAGGTTGAACGCCGCGGCCATTCTGCCCTCGTGGATGCAGGTTTCCTGTGGACCTATGTACCCGCTGATGTTCTTCTTCCAGAGATCCGCGGTCATCAGGATGCTGGTCTCCTCCTCGCCATAAGTTTCCGCGACCAGGAAGTCGAGCTTGTGGCCCCGTCGACCGAGCTCACCTGCGTTCACCTACCGAGCCGAGTAATCCTACATTCTTCTCGTGGAATTAATTTAATTCAATCCCCACCCCCGGCGCCATTTTCCCGTATCGTTCCAGCTAACCTCTACTTCCCTGAGAGTCCACGTCGTAGTCGTCGTAGTCGTCGTCGTCGTCGTCGTCGTCGCGAGAGTCGCAATTTCGTCGCAACGCGAAGCGAGCAGACAGTTTCGTGTTCATTTTCTCGGAAGCGTATTCGGTTATCCGCGGACGAAACTCTTTCCTCTAGGATTACGCGGAATATTCGCGTGGATCTTACCGGTAACGAGTCGCGATAACCGGGATCACTGCGAGGGTATTCCTAAATTTATCGCGCTTAATTAGCCACTTCCGTGCAAATTGTGGTCAGCCGATGGGTTCGGGGAAAATAAGCGGTGGTAATTACCTCTTCCACGGCGAGCGATATGGCGCCGGATATCCGGTAACCGGGGCGCTGATACTCCAAGTCCCCTGGACGTCTTTTCGAACCGGTGATGTACCCGAGGGTGAAGGTCTCGGCGTAGGCGCCCTTATCGAGTAAAACGTGGATCGCCGTTAGTAACAGACAGGTCCTCTCCACGTGTGCCAGTAGCATGCCCAGTCGCGGAACCTTGGCAGATTAATTCCCCTTTATTTCCCATACGCCGCATGAAAATTTCTTCGCGCCGCGCCGACCTATTTTCATCCCCGGCTATCGTCCAATATCGGCAAGCTTTCTCTACACCCCCTCTCGAAAGCTCGCCGCCGTTTATCCCGAGAAAAATTCCATCTTTCGTCCGTGCACTGGCGCTCAGCTGCATCGGCTTTTATTTGCAACCGGCGACCAATGGAAGCACGAGCTTGCGGACGAGAGACGTAGGGAAGGTAATGGATGAATCCGGTAAGCTCGACGGGGCTGCAATAAACACCATCGATCTCCTACGGTGTACCACACGCTTCCTCTTCCTAGTATTTCGCCTTTCTTCGTCGCTAACTACCGGGCCAGGTTCCGACGTCCATTCGCTCCAGCTATTTCGCGTGATGGAGCACGCGCGTCATCGACAGCTAGCCAACCACCAGGCGTCCCTCTTCGTCGCGGTCGATCCAACACCGATTTATCCACCCACGAGCAGACCAATCTCTCGATATTCCATTCTGCAACGCGGCTTTGCCACATCCATTTCTCTCCGATTCGATTTCGACTCGATCGAAACGAACGAAAGCTCGTCGGAACGCTGGGCAAACGTTATTCCTCTGAGCTCACTCGATATTGCCACGAGCAGGAAAACCGGTGGTTCGGCCGTGATTCGTATCGGTGGTGGCGCGTTATTAATCAATCGCGGTGACTCAACGCCTCGTTCTTTTTCCGGTTCAACCATGGTCGTCGTCGTGGTCGTGGTCGTCGGCGCGACACGTCCTTTGGTTTTCCTCTAAACACCGACGTCGTCGCGAAACTTTCCGAGTTACGCAATGCCACATGTCTACGAAATTCTGTCCAACGACCCCGTCGTTTTTGACGTATCGTTAAAATAGAGCGCTCCGTTAATAATAGGTCGAAGAGGAAAAAGACAGCCGACGCTGTTCCGCGTAACCGCCGCGCCTACGATGGACATCGACGCGCGACCAAGAGAATGGGAACAAAATTAGAACGCGCCGACGCGCGCGCGTCGGCCTTTGTCCGCCACGCGGTTTCTATTAATCTTGGGCCAGCTGGTGCGAAAAATTCGCGGCGTTCGCGCGAATTCCGGAGCGGATAAAGAGCGAAAACGCCGATGGCGGTGGCCGATTTCGACACGGTAACGAATGCGTCGGTACTTTCGTTTCCCCTGCCGCGCGCACCTTCCCGCCAGCCACGGTAATTAACGAGCTGCACGGGTTTATTAAGCGCACGCGAAATCGCTGGTAGCCGAGAAATTAATTTTCCGAGGGTGAATTGTCACAGACGGATCGATAATGTCACACGCGGCGGCGAGCGAATCGGTAACCAGAAGGCGCGTTTCCATCGGCCGCACCTCTTAATGCCCGACGGTAATTAAACGGATACAAATCTTGACAGGGTATTTCGTTCGAGAGTACCGGCTATGAACACGTCGTTCCCTCGTCCGCTGATTTATCTCTCTCCTCGATAGCATTGTTCCTCGCCTGTTTCTTTGCTCTTTCTCCGTCTTCCTCTGCTGAAAGGCGATCGAAATCGGCGTCGACTACCGTTTCCCACGCGGCGTTTTTCTCGCAGCAACGTTCGCGCGTCAATCGAGAACCGATTAATCACTCGCGCCGGTTCCGCGCGAATTTACGAGCTCGTCGAAACGGCGCGATTCGCGAAAACCGCTCGGTCCACCGGCAATCGTATTCTATTCTCGGCGCGGAGCGGAGCGGAGTCGAGCCGTGACGGACGAGCTGCGAAGCGTGCACCGCGAGTGCAACTCGTTTACTCACTTCGACGCTCCAATTAACGCCGATACCGATTCGTACAAATTTCCGCTTTACGCGTTGGCAGACGCGTGGCGCGATTAAGTCGGGTACACGACGTCTTATTACGAATATCTCGTGGCTCGTTTACCGCTACCCACGTTCATTTATGCGCCGCGATGCGCCGCGATGCGCCGCCGTTACGTGTCCTTAATTAGCAAGGAATTATCGCCCGTTGCACTATCGCTTCGGCGAAATCGGGCCTGCCATTGCGACGAATCGTAATCTCTTCGTTATATTCCGGCGCGCGAAGCCCGTGCAAACGGCTGGCATTAAATTCGAACGCGAGACGTATCGAGCGGGCACCGGGTGCGTGCCGTGAGAGCCGCGCGTGAATCTTGCCTGCCCGCTCGACCCGCGCACGCTTTATTTCTCCTCGCCGCTTTATTTCGCTCCGTTCGCACCCGCTCCCGCTCCCGCTCCCGCTCCCGATCCCTCCTTTTTTCCTCCCGTTTTTACAATAGCGATTCAACACAGATGTCCTCTTTCTCTCGGCCCTCGCCGCGCGAAAGAAATCGCGAGAGGCGTATCGAGATGGAGGTCGTAAAGAGTGGCGATATTAAAAGGCCGCAGAAACAGATTTATGACGTCGTGAACAATCGTCGATATGGTTGCGCCGATGATGCCGAGGTGCACGGGCAACGCCAACAGCTGGATCCTTAACGCATCCTTAATGAAACCCGCGTTTTATTCCACCGGCAACAGGTTAATCGTTTTTTTAATGCCTTTCCCGTCCACTGAACGAGGGTGTGGAAAGAAGCTTCTTCGACCAAACGAAACGCCTCTGCCTCCTTTTTTTTTTTTTATTTCTTCTCCTCCTTTTAACGAGAGAAATCGCCACAGCCTCCCCCCTTTCCCCCGTTTTCTCATTTTTCTTTCCTCCCGCTCGTTCCTCCGCCGCAGAGCCGCGCGTGCAACGATCTTCTCTATGTTGGAACGGGTGACGTGACGCGACGCGACGCGACGCGACGCGGATAGGTGTCGCGCGCAGGGGGCCCTCGCGGCGTGGTATTCACCTCGCGTATTTCCGCTTGTCCCGGATAAATTTCCCGCCCTTATCGCGCGTCGCGTTAAATAAATATTCCACCTAACGCGTGCTTTATCGCGGATAATCGCGGCTCGCGACGTACGTGCGGCGCGATACCGTCGCAATTGCGTCTCTCTCGGTTCGTTCCTCGTCTCCGCTGCGGATAACGGGCGAATTTTCCTCGAACCGCGCGTACACGCCTTCGCTGCTTCCGATAAACCAGGAGGAACGACCACCGTAGATCGGTCACCCCGGGCACGATCGGTTTCCCTGCGCCGATACTCCCGCCAGCGGGGAAAAGTTAGAGGAAAGGCGTTTTCGAAATACGCTCGCGAGCTGACGAAGGTCGCTGAGAGAAAGTAAATGTAGCTGGTTGCACGTTTTTATTACTATTTCCTTGAGGAGCAGCGCCGCCTCGGGTATTCTTCCAGCGCGTTACAAATTCGCCATGGTCTCGCGCCAATGTGCCTTCCACATAGCGCGCGTGTGCCCGCTATTACATATGTGGAACACGTTTGTTCATGCCGCTGACTATATTTAGAAGTTTCTCGAAAGCGAACGTTACACACGGTGAACCGTGCATAAGGAAAAGCCAAGACTCCCTGCGAAATCTGGAGTAACGCGCTGGGCGCGAGCGATTACGCGCGTCAGCTGATTCGCGGCTCAGAGACGACGCTCCGAGGCTTCGAGGATCGCGCGTTTTCGGAGATCGAAGGTTTCACGAAGACTTCGATGGACAGGGATAAATCGCGAGAAACGGGAGAGGGAGAAGGAGAAAGGGAGAGGAGAAGAATATACGGCGTAGGTTAAGTCGTAAGGTTCTCGGAGCGTGTTGCGTGTCAGGGACCTTGTCACGCTGCAACCCGATGGAATCTGATAAGATCCGTCCAGCGGATAGGGCACTCTTCCGTCGGCTCCTTTTTCGAAATCATTTTTTACGAGAACGGAGAGCGCAGCTCCCGCGAGTAGCTATTTTGTCTGCGGATGTAAGTACGTCTTCGTTGACTCACCGCTCATCGAGGGATCGTATCAATGACAAAAGCACAGGCATTTCCGCGATAGTTTCGTATTTGCCGCGTCTCGAAAGCGAAAATTTCCTCCAACGTTCCACCGTTTGAATCTCGAAGGAGTCGGACGGACGTGGATCGATCGCGCTGGATCGCGAAGGTAAAAGTAATCGCGGAGCACCGATTCGCGATGGGGATCTCGTCTACGGGCATGCTGAAAGCGACTCGATTCGATCATGGGGGCCGACTTTCGAAAAAGGTGATCTCGGTATCTGTGTCACATGGTGTTACATAGAGAATTTTAGGCACGCCTCGATTCGGTTGCGTCAACCGGGTACGCGTTCACGCACCTCGGGCTATGCGCCTTCGGTTTCTATTCGCCGGCCATTTTCTAATTACACCGGTTCGGTCTCCTGGGTTCGGCCGATGATCGACACTGCTGTAATCGTTGGACAAGCTCGAAGCTCGTCCCGAGAATAATTTACGAGCGAGCATTAATTACTCCACCGGTTACGAGTGTCATCGCGATGTCGATTCGCGCGCTAGTGACACCCGGACGTTCTCGGGACGTCCTCGCTGCCGGACGACGGTAAATCCTCGCGCAGGATCGCTCGAGGTGCCGAGATCTAGAGCGAGCAGCGTCGATTGTGTGCAAATGGCGGTGGCCGATACGCGAGATCTCTATTTCGCGTTATTGGACCGTTTATTTTCGTAGACAGGCCAGCGGAGGATCGTCGGGGATCGCACCGGAACCTCGTTTGTTCCTATTCACGCGTCGGGAAGCTCGTCGAGTGGCTGTCCGCGTACGTCTTCGAAACTTCTTCCCATATACCCGTTACTTTAGACCCGACTCGAGAAAACTGCAATCGCTTTTCATCTTCCCGACCCGAGTGCGTTCTCCTGTACGCGAGACGATTCGCTCCGCGGCCATGACAGCTTGGCTAGGTGTCTCGTAGTCGCGCGACTCTTCGTTTCCACGATGAAACGACTCATCAGAGGTAATGCTTCGTTCTCGCCGGTAACTAGACTGAAACTTCTACAGTTTCTGTTTTACGTTTACGTTCTCCACGCGATATTACGCTGCACCCACGCGGCTAGGCTCTTTTAGCTCTCCAGTTCGCGTCTTTCTCTCTCTCTCT